CAACATATGAGTTATTAGTTAATAAATACAAATACGACATACTCAACTCTTGGTTGGTTTCCAGAAGGAACATTTCTCTCTAAATTGACTGTGTGATCACCCAACAACAAGCAAAGGACAAATGTTGACCTACAATTCTCCTTAACCCATTCCTCATTTATAATAAAAGTGTATTAAAGTCGCCTTCCTGTCCCTCATAAAAATAAAATTAGTTTGATACTCAGTGGAGGCAAATCAACCACATTTCCAATCTTCAAAACAGTTGATGTTCCTCATGTTATTGTTAAATTATTCGAGATCTCCAGAATCATACGGGTAATTCCACATCATTACGTATTGAACGTTAAACAATTCAAAATTATGGCATCAATCGTCATACAACGAGTATTCACATATCCGCTCATAAGTGAAGGTCTGATTCCCATAGCTTGCCTGGATCTTAGGTCACATTGTACCCGTCCTACAAACTATGTTCATTATATTATTTTGCTTCTATGTCTTATGAGAAACAATATTTTTTTTGGTGTGCTCAAAAAAAATCATTGCGGTCACCTTCAATTCAAGATGGCGTCCAATATGGTTACTGAATGGTAAATGTACACATATCTGGTTAAATACATATGCTAGAATGTTAGTTTAAATGGCTATACGTATGTTTTATTGACTAAATAATCCACATATTTGCATTCTGAGTTGATATCAATAGTTGATAGCAATATATCGATGCTAACCGAGTCCACACTCTCATTTTAGTGAATTTTTGTCTCGTAGACCTGACGACTTTAGTAATTATAGAAGTACCAATTAATTTTGTTCAACAATCAGTAGTCAAGAAAAATATACTGACAAAAACGATGGAGTCAGACCAGGTGCTGCGGGCATGTCGAACTCGCCCTGATGTTCCAGTCATATCAGCGAAAAATGGCAAAACAAGTTTACTAGACAAACAACCACACCAAACCACAAGGACAAACGGTTGTTTTGTATGACTATCATATTAGATAGTGGATCTGTTTTAATGATACATGTGTAATATTGCTCACTTCAAATTGACAAATATATATCAAATTGTGTATAAACGATTTGCGCAATGAGCAGTTCATAACTATATGCCGGGGCATACTTTTCATAGTTTCTTTTGGACCCTATACATAGGGTATTATATACTGTATATTTATAAACTGCTAAATTTATTTGCCAGATAGAAAAAAACAATTTGCAATTGAAAGTTTAAGTGATTTTTATTTTGAAATGTCCAATATAAAGTATACAATGGGCAATTAAAGCTATCATTGCTGGTTACGAATATTTATAATTGTTGTGTATGTCACACACACACTAACATATCAAAGTAACACACACGTTTTAGTATTTCGATCTGAACAGTAACTACTAGTATATGATAATCGGAAATCTGTAATCAGCGAAACAAGGGTCTTACACGTACACGTACAAACTGTCGGACGAAACTTGACCTGTATATTTACCTTTCAGTCGTGTATATAAGGACATAAAACATTTGCCGAAAATAACAATATTTTATTCAGTAAATCATTCGATTCGCTAATTACAGAAAATCGGAAATCTGTAATCAGGGAAACACATTTTCTACATGTGTGTTATTATGTAAATTGTTGTTTTTAGTAGTCCAGTGTATACAACGGCATGGAACAATTGTCAAAAATAAAGGTGATGACACCGGAAGGAGGGTCCATAAAGACAACCGCATCTTTTGACCTTGGTTGAACCAGAAAGCCCGCCAGACTGATGGTCATATGCAAATTAATACGCCTTTTGGTACGCCTCGGAGCGTTGACGTTGGTCACAATATTATTGTTAATTTAAAAATCATCTCCTTTCTTTGTTGACAATTGTTTAATGCAGTTGTATACACTACTGAAATGGGAATGTACTGGTCAAGTTTCGACCGACAGTTGTAAATAATATACGTGGAGGACCCTTGTTTCAGTGATTACAGATTTCTGATTATCCGCAATTAGCAAAACGAAACTTTTACTAATTAAAGTCCCGATATTTTCGGCAAATGTTTTATCTAGTTACGATACGACTGAAAGGTGAATTTACTGGTCAAGCTTCGACCGACAGTTGTAAATATTGTATGTGTAAGACCTTTGTTTTCTGATTATCTGTAATCAGCGAAATGAACCATTTACTGTTAAATATTTTTATTTTCGGCAAAAGTGTTATGTCGTTATACTTGTATACACTACTGAAAAGTGAATATACAGGTCAAGTTTCGACCGACAGTTGTAAATATTGTACGTGAAAGATCCTTGTTTCGCTGATTACGTATTTTTAATTATTTGTAATTAGCAAAAGAAACCATTTATGTATTAAATATTGTTATTTGCGGGAAATATCTTGCAAATATTGAACACTAGAAATTGTTTGAATAATAATATTGAAACAAACCACATGTGTAACACCGATATATATATATAAATTACCTGCAAACACAACAAACATGACATCTAATGCCTTGTATTATAACACTATATTTTTTTCTTTATGTTTTATGTGATTTCTGTTTTAAGTGTGTATTTTGATTCAATTTAACTTAATTGTCACTATTGTGTAGTTATTAGTCATCCACACAATTGCACTATAGATTTTTTAATGGTGATGCCATGTTATTTCTTTTTATAATTCCTAGTTATTTTTTTAGTGGACTTGATAACATTTTCATAATTGTTGTGCGTATTTTGAATTAGTTGCACTTTTATTTTATTTTTCTCTGTTCTGTACTTTTAGTGACCTTACTGCTGTAGTCTTCTAAGTCAGTGTTGTGTTAATAAATAAATATAAATATTCATTTTGTGTTGATTATTGATACTTTTTTTTGTTAAACCATAATATAATTTCATAATTGCCGCTATTATTTTGCCGACTGGACACGATACAGTTGTCATTGTCAATTCTCATCGATATTTTTTGATATATGTCATAAACTCGTTGTAGTTTGTTCCATGTGTTAGAACCATCATAGTTTGCCTTTGACATCGACCAGTTCTTTCAGATCAATAGGCCTAAGATGTCCATATGGTAGTTTTATATTACAGTGCATTTGTTCTAACAGTGGGGTTGTACGGTTAACCTTATGGCATTTGTGTAGGTTTTCCTCCATAGTTTCATCCACTTCCACTATAGAAAAGCTTGTTGGGTCTAGTGCCGTGGGATATAAACTGTCACCTATGACATAACACACAAG